TTCCAAAGATCTTTACAGGATCTTAGGGTCAAAAGAGGAGCAGATGTTGATATTGATCACCATTTGTTGGTGGCTTAACTTTAGCTGAAACTGAAGAGAAACACAAAAAGGGCATGTCAGACAGAAGAGACAAGTGCAATGTCACTACTCTTAAAGACCTTAGAAAAATGAATAATTTAGGCTTGAAAGTTAAGTTAGGAATTCTCCAAGAACTATACCCAACAGGTAGCAGAAAGTGAAAAGAATGCTATGGCCAGTTTGCCAGAATGTGGTGGGCCAAAGAAACACCAACAGAATGGACCATAAGTAAAGTTGGACAGGAAAAAGAAGGCTGCAGTGAACAACTGTAGAACAAGTACAACAAAGCAAAGGCCCAAAAAGATTACAAGGAAGCCCACAGAGAGATGAAGATTATACGCAGGGTCTAGAGGCTAAAGTAGAGCAGGCAGCGTACAGTGGAAACATGAAACAGCTCTACAACACAATTAAACAGTTCTTTTGAAAATTCATTAAATGGAAAAACCTGTCATAGACAGACAAAAGAGCACTACCAGAAGCTTAAATCAAGACTATCAGATGGGCAGAACATTGCAAGAAACTCCTAAATAGACCAGTACCTCTTAAGCCACCAGACATCGGCCCATCTGAATTAGATCTTTCCATCACCTGCAAGAAGCTAACTAGAGAGGAGAATAGAAAGGCCATCACACAGTTGAGGAATGGGAAGGTAGCTGAACTTGACAACATCTCACGTGACTACGGCTTCTCAAGGAGGTAAACCTCATGAGATCACATATAAGGGGACATCCTGCTGAGATGCCCATAATGTGCAACATACTTACAGGTGTGAACTGGAGGACTTTCAGGTGTGAACTGGAGGACTTTCAGGTGTGAACTGGAGGACTTTCAGGTGTGAACTGGAGGACTTTCAGGTGTGAACTGGAGGACTTTCAGGTGTGAACTGGAGGACTTTCAGGTGTGAACTGGAGGACTTTCAGGTGTGAACTGGAGGACTTTCAGGTGTGAACTGGAGGACTTTCAGGTGTGAACTGGAGGACTTTCAGGTGTGAACTGGAGGACTTTCAGGTGTGAACTGGAGGACTTTCAGGTGTGAACTGGAGGACTTTCAGGTGTGAACTGGAGGACTTTCAGGTGTGAACTGGAGGACTTTCAGGTGTGAACTGGAGGACTTTCAGGTGTGAACTGGAGGACTTTCAGGTGTGAACTGGAGGACTTTCAGGTGTGAACTGGAGGACTTAAAGTGTTAAAGGTGTGAACTGGAGTTCTGTCGAGGATGCCTGCTTTTGTCATTCTTCCTTCTTACCAGTGACTGGATAATTGATAATGAAGACATCAACCAGAATACAAAAGAAAGAAATTCAGTAGACTCTGTGAAAACAACTTGATTGCTTGGTCTTTGCAGATGAGCTTGCATTCCTCTCCCACAATCAACAGCAGATGCAGGAGAAGGCAAATATGGTAGCAGACAAGTAAATAGTGCAGGTTGGACTCAACACAAGGAAAATACCAAAATTCTAAACATTAACTCTACCAGCACTGAAAGTCAGTCTGTCACCTACCAAGGTAGTATCATAGACCAGGGGTCTCCAAACTTTTCAGCCCGAGGGCCGCATTAACTATGAAATATCTGTTCGGGGGCCAGAGTTTTTTCCAGCCCCCCCCCCCCCTCCCTCGAAGAAAGTCTAGCGCCAACACCCAAACGAAATATAATTTAAATATAATATTTATACAAATTTCAAGTGTCGTGGTCGTCCGTCCCTCCTCCCCTCTCCACCCCCCACCCCACACCCCTCCAAGCCAGGAAACCTCTACTAAAACTGCAGCTGGAGGTTTTTGATGATCTCGCATGCAAATGACCCGGGGGATTCAGCTGTTGCTTCAGCCACGAAGACCTTGCACTGCTGAAAGTGTGCCAAGTTGTTGGCCTGTACTTGTTACAAATACATGACAAGTTTGGATCTTAGGGCTTTGGGTCGGTGCATAGATCAGAAACTAGATTTCCCTCTCTTGTTGTTTTAGGTTCAGAAAATGTAAATGACTACTTATGTTTGCAGCAGAGGCCAATTTCTATATCCTCACTTTATCAGACATTTATGGCAGTGGCTTGCCTTTATTTTCCAGGAAGTCACCTATTTCCTTTCTTAACTTAAATATTCTGCTCAGAATTTTCTCACAACTTAGTCATCTTACTAGTAAATCTTGCGATTCTATGATTGTATCTTTCAACATGTCTCTGAACTATCTATGGTTGAGCCCGTGACCTTATTTAATTCACCATCTTCACCACAGGATTCAGTGCAGGGTTAATGTCCATATATTAAGCACACAAAGCTTGCTGGTGAATAATACAGTGCAGGAACATTGGTCGTAGAATGTTTTTCTCACTACACATCTGATCGCTTGTCCAACCAAGCCTTTCTTTATGCCACTTTCCTCCACCAACAGTCAGGTAACTGAGGTTAGTCCAGTCCAAGTTATAATCAGCAAATGTTTTTTTCCAACTCATTGAATACATCAACTCCAGTAACAGTGTCATACATGTTATGTAGGGAAGCCAGCTCTGATGTTATGTTCATGTCTTCATGTCTAATGAGCAGTTGAGAGGTGGAGCAGCTGTCCAGCGACTCATCCATTGCCATTGAAAAATGGCGAAGCTTGCTTGCATTTTTCGCTATTTGAGTCACAATGTTTTCACCAATGTCTGCAACACGGCGGGCAATGGTATTTGCACCCAAAGCTACATTTTCAAATTGTTTTGAATTTTCTGGTCATAGTTCCTCAGTCACCTTTAACTAACATTTTTATTTCCGTGGACAAAAAGATCTTCGCGGGCCGGATGCGGCCCGTGGGCCGTAGTTTGGAGACCCCTGTCATAGACCAACAGTGTATAGCACTGCAAAGCAAGGATCAGCTAATCAAAAAAGTGCCTTTGCATATCTAAAGAAGTGCACTTGTTCATCTCCAATGTAAAATTAGTGCTGTTATATAGAGCAGAGACTAATGATAACAAAGACCACCATTGATAGAGTCAAACATTTATTAACAGCTGCCTTAGACAAATACTTAGACAAATAGTAAAAAATCAGTAAAAGAAGTAGGGGTTAAATAGGGCACAGCCTACAGAAACCAACAAACACAAACATGCACGCAATAAAGTGGAACCTGCACTGAAGGTGCAAAAGTTTCAAGAAATACCAGAGGATGCGACCTGAGGCTGAGACAGCAAAGATATGCTACACCTAGTGTAAAATTGAGAAGATGGCACTGGACAGAGGACTCTGAGGATGTTTTTATGGCGGCCCATGGCCCGTCAGGTGTGATAGGCTGTGATGATGCTGTTGATCCAATGAATTAAAATAACTTCTGAAAGGATAATTTTAGAAGCATAATTCTTTCACAAAATGTATGTAACACATTGAAAAAATAACTATTGGTGAAGTGGTACTTCAATGTACTCTTGACTTCAAATGAATTTAAGTGTGTACTTAAGTATGTTTGGAAAAATGGTTTTAGTTTAGAATAATAGCTTTTCTTCCTCCTTTAAATATTTAAAGAATGAAAGTGTAAAGCTTTCTATTTATTTATGATTCTCAGAACTTTCTTGTAACTTGTTTTTCAACATTTACACAATAGAGCACAGGTTCCCAATGGTTTGGACAATTTTTCAGTTCTGAGAAATCATACTGCAAATCCAAAAATTCATCATCAGGAAAGCTGTTTATATTAGTGAAAGCAGAGAATAGATTCATGTCAATGTCTATAGTTTATTATAGTTTTTCTTTGTTTTCTTTTTTCAAAATTACATATATTTTGATTTATTCCACCTGCTGATTGTACAGTTTTCCCAAACATGGCAATTATTTCCAACCCTCACACCTTTGATACTATTTGGTTTCTTTCCCTAAAGCTTTAGGTTTTAAGCATATGTTTTGTACTTTTCTAGCTGCTAGACATGCTACTTTCATCATTCATGCAATTTTGTTGATGTATACCAAAGCATTGTGTTACATTTGCACGTCCAAGAAAAATTTCATTATTCAATACATGACACAATTCAATTTTCCTTTCTGCAACTAGCATACTGCAGTATATAAAAGAAGAACCTCATTATAAGAATTTATGTTTTTGCAGTTACCTTTACATAGAATTTTTAACACTTAAGTCTTGAGTTCAAATCCTGGACTTTCCTGAGTTCACCCATATAGAGAAAGTAAAAGCAGCTAGCATAGTGTTGATCTCTCACTAGTCCTTCATTTACCAAGGTCATAGAAACAGCTTAACTCTATTTTATCTGCCCTATGAAACTCCATGGAAACCAATGCTTTGCTTTCTACCTGTTTGTTCTAGTCTCTGATGTTTACAATACGTTTCATGTTAATGAAATAAGTCAAAATCATTTTCAGTCTATTATAATTTCCATTTTTTGTGTCTTAATAAAAAAAAGAACAGGAATTTGTACTATAAAATCAATACATTTTCTTTACATTCTACAAATTTCTTTGTTTTATTTTTATACCTTTGGTGGTGACAAAAAAAGGGACAAATTGCGTTTTCTTTTCCATTAACATTTTCACATTATGTATAAACTTTACAAATATATCATCAATAGTATTGAATTTAATTTATAAAAAACTCCTCAATCACGTTTTTAACTGTCACATTTATATAAAACTGCAAAAATTATTATAATATTCTGACTCTTGAAGAACCAACCCACTTTACCCCCTTCACAAATTAAGCTTATTTCAATAGTGCCCACAACAACAAGAGATTTAGGATAACACATTACTTAAGAGTTTGCCTGTTTAGTGTTGGCCTACACCTTACCTATTTGATTAAACTTTTTTCTTTTTTATTACAAAAAGTAGTTTTGTCAAAATCCTAGAATGAATGAATAGAGTTAGGTAAGCTAGTGATGTTAGTAATGTTAAGGTTCACATGTTGCTACTACTAATCCAGACATGTGTTTTCATTTAAAGGTTCATGCCCCCTGAAGATCCTCTTGGTAGACTTGGACCCAGCCTAGAAAACTTCCTGAGAAAGACTCCTCTGGAAGCAGCACCGAAACCTCAAGACTGTCCTTATGGGAAAAAATGTACATATGGTAATAAGTGTCGCTTTTACCATCCAGAAAGAGGTTTTGCTCTGCAAAAATCTATCACTGATACATTGAAAGAACAAGCTGATATCAAACTTCAGCAAAGAGCCTCTAAATTGTTTGAGATTGCTGAAAAAAGCAGGCATTCAAAACAAAAGCTATCCAGGACAAAGTCTCTTTACCTTGGTGATGATAGCTCAATTGATTCAGAATCACTGAATAGGAAGGAAAAGCCAAAATTTTCTCATTCAAAATCACTTGCCAGTTCATTTGACTTAACTGAAGCAAGAAAAAAACTAGAGAAAGCTGAATTGTCTGACAAGATGGAGAAAATGTCAGTAAAAGAATTTAATAAAATAGCATCAGTTGCAAACATGCCATGCTCAGAAGACTTAGCTGCTTTGGCATCAAAGGAAGAAAAAGGCTTTGAACATGTTTTTTTGCAATTCTCAAACCCACAATTACCAGCAGCATCACATATTGGAACTGGGGATATGAGATCAGCCAGGACTTCTCCTTCACATCTTACAGTCCCAAAGTCTGAACAGAGATATGTAAGTGGACATTTGCTACTGGCAAAAAAACTTTCAGATGAGGGGAATGAAGCAAAGTTTTTCTATGAGCACTCAAGTCCATCTTCCACTCGCACAACAAGCCCTGTGCGTTTAAAACCTTCAGATACAAAAGCAACCAGTAGCTCTTGCTCACAACCACATCCTAATATTTTTGAAAGTAGTCACTGTTTAGCCCAAGAGAACATACCTAATCTTAGCATATTTGAACCAACTTTACAAGTGAACCAGATGTGTGTTAATAGGAATAATTCATTATTGCCTTTTAAACATATGGGTCTAATCAGTAATCAAACTTGGGGGGAGGCTATATCACCACCTCAAAGTATATTCCCTAGGTCTCCTGATAGTGGTCACTATACAGACTCAGAACCACTGTCAAGTCCATTTCATGGTATATTGGAGCATCCATCTCAGATAGTTTCAAGACCTTGTAGCTCTGAAGGGCATTCCAGTTTACGGAGGGCATATAGCTCAATAGGCTATGTTAAGGATGCAAATGAAAAACAACAGATAGCAGGCAGAAAGCTGTCTGCAGCTGTCAGTTGTTCTGGAGAACATTCCCTACTTAAACCACAGCAAAGTATGCCCACTTATCTTAACCAAAGTGCTTTTTTTTTAAGTTCTCCCAAAGGACTTGTGCGCCAGAACAGTTCATCAGATCCTCAGATACATACTTCTGATACTGTAGTAGCAACAGAATTTGACAGAAAAATATGTGCTCATCAATTTTCTAACCAACATCACCAAGGTGAACTCAGTTTAGGAGGACATCAACAACTTGATAAACAGCAACAATATCAAAGGCTTTCGTATCAAAACAAACAGGAAGCTCTTGTGGGGAGTGTTTATGCTGCTACTTCACATTTCAGTTCTCAGCAAACCTGTATACCATACATACAAAGTCCTGTTCATTTTCCACCATACACACAACATAACATGACCCATGGTTCAAACAGTATTTCCCAATATCACAGATACCAAGCTCACACAATGTATAATCCTAACTATCCTGGTCAGTTAGTATCACAAGATCAAGGGCTTTATTTTTCCACTTCTACAAATACCCCTTTACCAAAAAATATGCCTCAGGGTCCCAATGGGTATAATTCTTTTGAACAAACAAATACTCCTAGCCAACAGGCACCCTACTTTACAGCTTCTCTTATTCCATGTGAACAAAATACTTTGAACATTTCACCAGAAGATGCACCTATATTACCAGATGATTGTAGATATTCAATATATTATCATTTAAGTAATGTGTTTGGGGAAGCTGTTGTTCGCAAAATCATGAACCGTAATCCTGGAGTTATCAAAGCTGAAGAACTTTGCTCTTTAATACTAGAATTTAAGCAAAATAGCATCATTTAGTAAATCTGCCCGCTTTGAATTTTTTTTTTTTAAATCTTGTATTATTACTAGATTACAAAAAGTTTTTGATCCTAGAATAAAATTCTATGGATCATTAGTTGTCCTTTACAATCTATTCCCTGTTAAAACGAAAATCATGAAACAGTTGCATGTATAAGATTAAAATAAGTGATACAGATGTGCCCATTGCTGTGTCAGAAAACACTTTCAATGTGGAATCTCAATGATCAGAGCTGCAACTAAGAAAGGAAATTCATCAGTGGTTTCAAGATGTTCATGGGATTGATGGAGTTAGTTTATTTCAAGGCAAACTTTAATTTACTGACTGAATCCAAAGAATATACTTAAGATCATTTTGCCTCCAAAAATAGATTTAAATAATATTACACATTTCATGAATGTCCAGATTGTCCACTGTAAATTTAGTTATCATGATCATGTTTAAAAAAAAAGTTTTGATAGATATTCAGTCCATTGCCAAGTTCAGTATAATACATTTTAATGTAAATGAACTCTGCTATTGGTTTCTATAATCTACTATCATCAGCTCACCAGTTTCTATTTTTTCTTCAAATTTTGTAAAAGAAGACGAATACTTATTTAAATATTATTATATATATGTTTATACATAAATATAAATATGTTGTGTATACATATATATATATATATATATATATATATATATATATATATATATATATATACACATACATACATACAAAATATTGTAAAAGAAGACATAAATACTTTTTTTAATATCTGTAATATAACGCTGCTGGTAGTGTGTCAGTCCCTCATCGCTATAGATTTTGGAACCACAAAAGTAAACATTGAACCATGTAGTGCTTTTAGATTGCATCGCAGTGTCTTATTATAAGTAATAGTGTAGGATTTGTTTATATAACGACTTAAATTTATTTTATAGTTGCCAGTTGTTACACTTTCGCTTAACTTGAAGAAAATATTAAATACACGCACATTGCTAAAACATATTATAACTTTCGTTTAGATTCCTAGAAAAAGTGGATACATTTTAATAACAGTAGGGTCAAAAAAACTAATTAATTAAAATATTTAATAGTTATGCTAGGAGAGGTATTTTTAAAAAAAAAAATTCAACTCACGCTAATGAAAAAATGTGAATGCAAATTCTGCTGACGTCCATGACTGAATTATTGTTGGAATAATATGATTAGCATGGATTGATAAAGTATAATATGGTAGGCAAAACATGGATATTTTAAATACTGCCATTATTTATTTTATACACTGAACGCACTGTTTACTAATTATTATTTTTAATCAATAACAGTTAAGAAGCCACCCTGAAAGACCCCTATGTTTACTTTTATCTTTCGGTTTGCGGACAAGCTGGGTTTTTTATAGTCGTTCACTAAATTGAATCAGGGCAGGGTTTGATTTTGAGCAATGGGCTATCCTGTGAGCGCTATGGTTTTGTGTTTTCTTTTGTGTTTCTGTGTTGTGTTTGTTTTGCGTTTATGTTTGCATTGTGTGTTTTCTTTTGTGTTTGTGTTGTTTTAGTGTTTGCATTGTATTTGTGTTTTCTTTTGTGTTTGTTTGCATTTTTGGTATGTGTTTCCTTTTGTGTTTTTGTATGTGTTGTGTTTGTTTTTGCATTGTGTTTGTGTTTGTTCTGTTCCATAGTTGGTACATTTAAAAAGATTCCCCGTGGCAGAGCACGGGTATGCAGCTAGTTATTTTATATATATATATATACGTTTATACATAAATTTAAATATGTTGTGTATACAGTTTCTTTTTTTTTAATTTTTAAAAGAATACATACATACTTATTTACATACACATATATATGTTTATATTTTTTTATGTATACACACATTTACACTTACTGGTATGTATAAATACACATATATATTTATATATGTATATTCATTCATATATACAAACATACACACATATATACATAAATCTATATATATATATATATATACTAACATAAATGTATAAATATACACACAAAAAGTACTCTTTTTAAATTGCTTTTGCTGCTTGTAATACATTTAACTACATGTTTGTCAAATGCTATAAATTTTGATGGATTTAAATTGTCAAGCTTAATATGTAATTATGAATCATGTATAGGAATTGGAGACTTGTTAAAATCTATTTAACTATTGTTTAGTATTTAATTGCCAAATGCAAATGGTGAAATTCGCCTTGTTAATCCCAACTAAGTTGTTTGATTGACTCTGCACAATTAAGTTACAATTTTTTTTCGCCTTTTAATTTATTCATTTTTTTCGGTGACCAGAAAGATGCGCATCTGAAAAATGTGCAACGGAAAAATGCACATACAGTAAAAAGCGCTAACAACAAATTATGCACATAGAAAATGACACACAGATCTTTCATCAATTATGAGTGTGAAATTGTGTGTTTATATATGTTTGTGTTTATGCTTACATGTTTAAGTTGGTTTGTGTATAAGTGTATACACAGACATACATTTTCCATTCCTGTATATTTAAATTAAAAAAAAATGCATACAAACATAAATTGCAAATATTTTCCGATCATACATACATAGATGCTGTTGACTGAAAGTGTACGACCATAGATGATTGTCCACGCCTTGTTTGACAACAGCGAAGGGTTGTCCACAGGCATTATGTAAACCAGGGCTGTGTAAATAGTGTAATGACAGATGATATGACCAAACGTGGTCTGCACGACTACGCCTACACCCACACCGACCATCGAACGACCGAACCACCCATCCGCCTCTCTGTCTGTCTGACCGTCCGTCCACCCACCTCTCTTTCTCTACAGTTATAAAAATCCGGCACTGTTAATAGATCAAAATCACGAGCGTCTTGCAGAGTGGTGACTGTAGCAAAACGAACATTTTTTTTTCTAAGAATTACATCACAGACTGCGGTCTCTAGTACATGAAGTCACCCATTATTGTTGTTACCTGCAAGCAATTACATGAGCTAACCATTCGTCCATCTTGTTTATTTTTCGACATGTTCAAATGGACATCTGTCTTTTGGTTCACCGGAAAACTTATTTTAATGACAATAGAATGTGCATATTTCGATGTATGGACGGATGTAAAGACAGCCAGGTTGGCAGGGTGTGTGGGTGGGCCCCATTCAGTCCGGCGCTAGGTGTTGGTGTAGCTGTAAATGTAAGTATATGTGTAGGAGAAGTTGGAATTAAGCAAATCACCAATGGTCAAATAACCTGTGATGAACACCCGCGGTGAACAAACTGCCTGTGGACAACCCTTGTGGTCAAACTACATGTGGGCTTATCACCTTTGGTCAAAAGCATCTATAATAATCGGAAAATCTTAGCAATGTATGATTCTATTTATTTTAAAAAATGAGGTCGCATTTACTACTATTTAAAAAAATACAGACGTTGAAATGAAAAATTTCCTGAGAATGTATGCACATAGTCACGTGCAAACTCAAACATGCACGCATAAACAGACGCACATTGCTATAATCCTCATTGATGAGCGATCTGTGTGAAGTTTTCTTTGTGCGCACATTTTTCTGTGTGCTTACTTTCCTGTTTGCGTATTCTTCGCTGTGCGCTTGCGCATTTTTTGCGCATTTTTCTGGGAACACTTTTTTTTTCAGGTCTTAATTATAATTCAATCATAAACTGAAACTATCATACATGCTTTTGATTAAGCGTGTCTTTTGCACAATAATTTTACCCCAACTGTTATACCAAAGCATTTTTAAATGTAGTCTATAAAGATAATATCTGTGTCCTAAAATACTAATCCCCGTTCCTGTAGGTGATACGTTTATTAAAATAATTATCCTCCATTTGACTTCTTTGTTTTGTTTTAGCAGAGCCAGCCAAACATCTAAGTTAGTGAGTCTTTATTCCTTTAGAGGGATGAATAATAACATGTACCTCAACATGAGGCTTTACGTATATATTTTTTTATTTCAAAAAAATTAATTGTACTTTTTATATAATTAGTAACTTACATGCCATTATACTTTATACTTATACTTCTTTTTTGCTTATGGCTTTTCCGGTGTTTTTTTTCTATCATTCTATAATGTTGAGTATGTATCAGTGTCAGAAACGATCAGTGAAATTAGAGTTAAAATGAACATTGATAATCAAAACCCTAATGCTTACCCATAGAGAATAACTGTCCTTTTTTTCCCTCGAATATTGAGAGAGTATTGTAATCGTGCAGAAAATTTAATTCAAATTTTGATTGTTTTTGCATTTTTACTTTCTCGTATATACGAAGTATAGAGAAAGTCTTGTAATCGTGCAAAAAAAAAAAATCGAGATTTTTGCAAATCTCGACGTTTTGCATCTCACTGATACGGAAAAACATAATTTTGCAATCTTGTCCGTATGTCTGTGTGTCTGTGTGTGTGTGTGTGTGTGTGTGTGTGTGTCCGTGTGTAAACACGATAACTTGAGTACCGTTACAGCTAGGTTGATGAAATTTCATATATAAGTATTTAATCAAAATCGTAGATCCGTATCAACTTTTGAGCGATTTCCGATAACCGGAAGTGGTACTTTTCCTACTTTGAATTTTTCAAAAGCCTATAACTTGAGTACTATTTCAGATAGATAAATGAAATTTCATACGTAAGTAAAAGATCTAATTCTCTACCTTCTATTAAATTTTGAGTCATTTCCGTTGACTGGAAGTAGTACTTTACGCTACTTCCGATTTCTCAAAAAACTAATGTAAATTTTAAAAGTAATAATAATATTGCGCACTATTATGCGCTTTTTTATTTCGCGTTCACTTGGTGTGTAATTAATTTGTCTACGAGATTTTATTCTATTTTTAAAACTTTAAGTATTTAAAATGGATTAAAAATCATGTCTATAGCCCGAGTTCCCATCCCCTGTTATTTTATATAAGAATATTCGAGAAAGTTTAGGGGAGATCACTCCCGGTTTATTATAGCTCCTTACTGTATCGCATTCGGAATATAAAGAATGCATTGTAAGCGTGAAAAATCTGAAACAAGATTTTGACAAATTTTGATGTTTTATAACCTTTTGGAGCCGGAAAAACTTAGTTTCACAACGTAGCTTACCATTTTCGGTTACCCGGAAACGTACAAAAGTTGAGAGGAACCCTCGCATAGGCTATAAATACAATCTAATAAAGTGTCTCTTCCCCCTTCCCCCCCCCCCCCCCCCCCCCGCCACTGTCAAATACAACGTTTAGGAGAGATCACTACCGCTTTTTTCCTGATCTATTACAATATCAGTTTAAAAGAAATGTTTATTATAACGTTTTACTTTATTCACAATTAATATCTATGGGTTTGTTATAAATCTTGTAATTCAATTTTGACCCGCTTCTAATGAAGCGATTCTATTCAAACTTTCCCGACATATTCATTTCCGATGCCAGCTCTGCCATAATATAATACTTCTTCTATCAATTTTGTATTTAATTTCTATTAAATCAGTTATAAAAATTAATTGGGAGATTACAGTATTCGATGACACATGGGGAGATACAAGATACATTTTACTGATCGGTTGGGGGGGGGGGGTACATTCACAAATGTTTTCATACATGAGAACAGGCCCGTAGGGGGAAGATAATACTCTAATTTAATAGTGATCGGGTTTGAATGCAGATATTTTAATCGCGTAGGTGATGGTTTAATTATATTGATATAACTTTAATTATCATCACACTCTTGTATCTTAATAAATAATAGTCTATAGATCTATAAAATTAAAGTATATCTGTTCGTTTATCATGTATGCATTACTACACCTTTCATTCGATCTCCGTGAAACTTGGGTAGGTTGTTGAATACACTCCAGTGAAAATTTCTGCCATAAAAAATATATCGAAGGCGTGGCGCCCCCAGTAGTGTGTGGCAGTGGTGTAGCGAGGTCGGGTGTCACCCGGTGCGGAACTTAATGGTGTCACCCTCAGAGGCGTAGCGAACCTTCCCGGCGCCCGGGGACATACTTTCGATTTCCACCCCCCCCCCCCACACCCTTGTCAGGATTTGTCAAATTTGCTCTTAAAAGACTTTTTAACACTCGAATTAATCACTTAAGTGGAAGTGGAATTATCATTTTTCTCTATATATTTTGCTATTTTTTGCCTTGGTGTCACCCCCCCCCCAAATGGTGTCACCTGGTGCGGTACGCACCCGCCCGCCCGCCCCCCCCCCCCCGCTACGCCACTGGTGTGTGGTTTGGTGCCGGTGCCACCTGGAGTCTATTGATGTATAATGATTGGACTGCCTACACAGGGGGTCATAGGTACAGTTTGAATAAATGATCAAACTGCCAAAGGGACATAGTCTGGCTATTGTATTAATAAAAAACCACAGGGAAGAATGTCACAGAAAAAAGTCAATAAATAATATTAGCAAGGAATTTGTTAATACTTTTGTTTCCCGAAAATGCAAATTAACATACGCTTAATTAAATATAATGTAAACATTGTATATAACCTATATGTGCGTAGTTTTTATTTGTATGATGACACGTAAAAATATAAAGTCTGAAGGATGTTGGTTTAAATTCCATTAGGCCTATAGAATAGAAATAAGTTGAATGTTCCAACCAACTCAGTTTTCATAGTGTTTAAAAATATAAACTTTGAATCGGCGTAAAATGGGAAGAAGACATAGCTAAGAAGATTTGTTGTCCTCGACTTGTCACACCTTTACTGCCCACATTTATCGCCCTCATTACATCACATAAGATAGGATCAAGACAAAAAGCCGACAAAGGATGTCGTTGAAGCAAAATGTCAAAAATACACTTAATACTTTAATGATTAATTTTTACTTTCTCTTATACGGAGTATTCGGGAAGTATTGTAATCGTGCAGAAAAATCACATGAAATTTTGAGTTTTCACCGTTTTACTTCTCAGTATTTCATCACAAAGGAGAATAGGGGACTTATTTTAACCGGGCGAAAATTCTAAACTCGAATTTTAAAAAATTTTTTCTACGTTTTAGGCGTAATCGAGTCGGAAAAACTGGGCTTTGCAATTCTGTCCGTATGTGTATCTGTGAATACGATAACTTGAGTACCTTTACAGCTAGGTTGATGAAATTTCATATATAAGAGATATCAAATGTGTAGTTCTGTATCAAATTTTCAGCGATTCCCAATAACCGGAAGTGGCACTTATTCTACTTTTGGTTTTTCTAAAGCCTATAACCTAAGTACTGTTTCAGACAGATAAACGAAATTTTACATTTAAGTAAAAGACCTAAGTGTCTGCCTTCTGTAAAGTTTTGAATAATTTCCGTTGATAGAAAGTAGTAATTTACGCTATTTCCGATTTCTCAAGAAACTTATATGAGTTTATAAAGTACTAATATTCCGCACTATTATACACATATTGTTTGCCGTTCACTTGGTGCGCAATTCTTTTTTCTATGAGAATCTATTTTAAAAAGTTCAAGTATTTAAAAAAGTATTAAAAATCATGTCTAAATCCCGAGTTACCATCCCCTATAATGTTATAATATGTAAGAATATTCGAGAAAATTAGGAGAGATCCTTTATTCTACCAGGTATTTAAATAAATATGTAATTCAATTTAAGGCTGCTGTATAAATTCTCTTATAATAATTACTCTTACTGTGAAGATCAAACTCAGATTATTATTGTACAGTTTATGTATAGGTTACTAAAAACCACCAAAACCTGTATTTTCTTCCGTCAGTCGAGTGAAGATATGGAAACTGGTCTGAAGGAAAGTGTTGGATTCTCGGTATTGTTGGTACCTGACCGTTACACGAGGACATAGCTTTGTCCATCAAATACAAAAAGAGGGGGGTATCAAAAATAGTGATGGCTTCATATTCAACCATTTTCGACATTTTCCTTTTCTGAAATAATAACTTGTCAGCTAAATTCGCAATGCAAGTAAGCAGTGTTTCTTCCAGACTTTTTTCTCCGGGGGGGGGGGGGGGGGGGGGGGCACTTGAAATCTTCGGGGGGGGGGGGGCGGTAAACTTTCTTCGGGGGGCGGACACTGTTAAAAGTATATATTTTCTATATAAATTTTATATAAAATTCATTTCGTTCGAGGGGGGGGGGGGGGGGCGGTAAAAAATTTTACCGAAGAGATGCCTGGAAGAAACTTTGCAAGTAAGTGTCGTAATTAACTTTTAAATGACGCGTTTTACAAAACACGCTAGGCATGCATCTCCATCTCGTAGATCCAATATAAGGCCATGCAACAGAAAAAAGCGTACATTTGATTATTTAGGTTTGTTCCTTCCGTCCGCTGTTTTCGTCCGCGTCGCCCAAAATTGAGTAGATTTTTACCAGTGTTTCTTCCAGACATTTTAAACTAAATTACACGATGTATTTAAGTTATGTAATCCCAGTGGTTGGGGGGGGGGGGGGTTACACATTTTTCGAGGAAGCTCTCTTTCCCCCCGTTTTCTTTGTTAACAACGCAATACCAAATTTTACTAAATTGATGTAATAAGTTTTAGAGGCTTGATAGTTCAGTAAAAATAAATAAAAACATGTAGCTACTTAATAAGCAAGTTTGTGGGTCTAGTTTTTATAGTTTATTTCTTCAGTATATTTTAATTATTAAAGCTATAAAGCCGTTCAATGATTAGACTTCCACGTAATTTTTCAGCTTCGTCTGATGAGCGAAACTCCACTTCACTTTGAATAGGAGTCATTTTTTTTATGATTGCTTAGTTCAAATATTTTTGTCTTTTCTGACAAAGGGTACTTTGAAAATTAATTGCAACATATTTTTGTAATCTTTTTAGAATAGATGAATATTTAATTCTGTTAAATGTAATAAGTCACGTGATCGTACACTTCATCGCCAGTGACAACAATATATGGGTATAGTTTAAAGTAGAAAACCGCACATTTTATGGATGGGTTGGGTTTTAGCGATGATTTTAAACTATAGTACATGATGTGTAGCTTGAAATACTTTACATTACCAAAGAAATCGATTTTTAATGTGTTCTTAATTTCAATTTTAACTATATGTTATGTTAATGCCTCCAAAACTTACCTGGAATGGGGGGGGGGGGGGGGGTAAGCGAGATCTTTACTACAGTTGTAACAATGATCAGTGCTCTTTGCAGTCAGCTTGGAAATAATTCCTTTAAAAGAATATAGCCCTTGTCTACGAAA